GAGCATGCTATGCCACCTTGCTGGTCCATAATTCATTTTTTCACAATAAGCTATCAATGTAGATAATATTGTGTCTGCTTGTGCAGATGAGGAATTTGAAAGTAAAAAAATCGAAGAAAATTGCTACGTCACTCAATTAATGGATAGTAGAACCAGGACTGAATCTGAGTTCTAATAAAACTACTACCCTCATTTGTTATACATTTATCATAGTTCTAAGCATTTTATTTTCATTAACTTACATCATAGAAACTTGCCTGAGGTCACCCAGTTAGTAGGTGATGAAGCCGTTTTGACTCCAAAGGTTTCTGCAGAACTAAGTACCCAAGAGAAACTGCAGGCTGGGGAAGCAGTTACTGTTCAACTAAGAAATAAACAGGTGTGAAGAAACTATTTGGAGGCCAATGGAATTTAAGTGTACTGCTGATGATCCTTGGATCTTCCTTCTTGATGAGAGGGGGATGAAGGGAGAGTTGAAGACAACTGTTTTCTTGCTTATTTGGAAAAGTAGGCAGATGATGACAGTATTAACTAAGACCTAGAATGAAAATAAACTGGCATTGGATTTATGTTCTGCTTCACATGGTTAGGTGTTTTTTTGTTTTTTGTTTTTGCTTAGCTATGAGATATAAGCAGAAGAAACACAAGTTTTCATCTTCCACATTGTCGCTCTCCCGCAGCGATGGACTTGGTAATGGAGCCGATAATAACATGCGTGGACCCTGACTGATGGTCAAAGCCGAAGTTTATTAGTGGCCTCAGTCTGTATACACTGAGGGTTATGTGGGTTAAGAGAGGAGGTATTGAGCTTAGCAACAAAACCCATCAACTGTTTCCATGCTCTGGTTTGGAACTCCTTTTGTCTTGTATATTCCACCAAGTGTTCTCACACACCTACTGTCCATTCAACTGTTCTTATACAAATGATATCCAATCAGGTATATGAAAGGTAGCCATTTGGTTGTTCTCATGCAAATACTGTCCAATGAACTGCAAACCTGTGCTAGCTGATCTTCCAGTGTCACAATGTCCTACACACATGAAGTTTATTGATTAATAGATGATAGAATTCCAAGTGAAACCTGGAATACTGCCTATAAGGCAGTGAAGGACCAAGAATATACGTAGTTGTAGGATAGCAATGCACTCAACTCTATACTGGATTTACTCTTCTCAGAATTACTTGCTGTCACTCACTATGCATTGGGTGTCCAGGATACAATGGTGAAGAAACGGAAGCCAAGCCTTGCCTTCACGAAACTTACAATTGAGTAAGAGAGACAGGCAATCAGTAATGAATCAAAAAACTACATTGCTAAAAAGGACCAAAAATTGGATGGAGTCTATGGTAGGAAATGGTAACACAGGATCCAGGTGACACAATTTTTTTTTTTGGTGAGATCTGAGACAAGTCTCATTTTTATTCCAGGGTAATGGAAAGAAATTGATGAGCAAGGGAGTAACATGACAGGTAGCTCATCCTGGATGTTCTTATATTCAGGGCAAGATTATGAGGGCAGGAGTGGTAAGATGTGATGGAAGCATTCAGGTGCAATGGTGGAGTCTGAGTCCTCTTCTTTGATGTATAATAGAACATCTGTGGTTGGGTAAAGAGAAGAGGTTTCTTCTGTTCACAGTGCTGGAGGCTGCGCAGGGCAAGAGAGCACGGCATTAGTGTGCTAGCTCTCCATGAAGCCCTCACGCACATCTTCACGATCTGGTGGAAAATCAGAGGGGCTAAAGTGCGTTGCAGAGAGAGCACAGAAGGCAGCCTTACTTTGTAACCTGCGCCTGTCCCTAAATGTTGAGAACAAGCTCAGTTCCTGCGTTAGGGTGGAGCTCTCACTTCTTCACTGCTGCTTAGCACTATTACAGGGGGCTCAAATTTCTACATGAGTTCTTTAAAGGACAAACCATATGCAAATATTTGTGCTGGCACAGTGATGAGAAAATGGAAATCCAGTTTGGGAGAAGCTAGAAGACTCATTGATGGTGGGATGGCAACGAATGATAAGAAATTAGAGATGGCCTTTGGGAAAAGGGGTGGAGAGTGCTTGTCATGTGCTAGTATCACAACAACTGGGGGAAGCACAACTTTTAGAGGAAAACGATAACCAGGCGTGCGCACACACACACACACACACACACACACACACACACACACACACACACAGTATAGTACCAACGCTTATGAAAGAATGCTCTGGACTAGAACTTAAGAGCCCTATTTTTGTCTTTGCTGGGAGCAATGACTTCTCTACACCTTATTTATCCCAATCTGTAACATGGGGTTAATTATATCTGCCTTTACTGCTCCGGAGGGATGATGACATGAGAAGATAAATTAGATAATACATATGAAAGTACTTTGAAGTCTTGAATCTCAGCTAGTGTTATTATGCCAAGGGATGTGTTTATATTTTTCATCTATGTACTCAAAGTCACAGGGAGTCAGAGTGTAAGTTGCCTGCATTTTTTCCACTGTGCTCAGTTCCCAGAAAAGAAATGGAACGTGTCTGTCTTTCCCACACCGTCCCTTCCCCCACAGTATTCCCTTGACGTTAGTATTGTCTTAGTAGTTTTAAGATGCTGGGAAGAAAAGATTTTGCTTGGTATAACTGTCAGGTTCTTGGTAGATAATGATAATGCCAATATCTTCCTTTAAGAGAAATACAGATTACAAAGAGCCAGCCCATTGTCTCACCTAATGGTCCAGGGAAAAGTATTATTTTTTTCACCATTTGATGGACAGAAAATGGCTCAAGTAGTAAAAACAACTTCACTAAGGCTTCATTTTATAGCTGGAGTAACTCAAGCTAATAACATAATTGTGTTCTAAAAACACACACCTGGGGTTTTCAAAGAACAGTAGCCATGTCCCAGATAATACTCAGGGGGTGCATGTGTGTGCTGGCGCCTTTGATTACTGCTTAGGACACGCCATTTTCAGTTCTTTGGAAATAATGTGACTCCTGATTTTCTTGCCCAGCATATCAAGAGCTGCCTATGTAATTGTGTACTGTTTTCTCTAAAACAAGAACAAAGTAAAAATTGCCCTTTCTTTCCAGAGTAATCTATGATTGAGAGTCTTCTCTCTAGAGAAGAAAGCAGTTTGTATGGGATGGGGGATATGATGGTGATGTGCAAAAGAGTTCTTTAGTTCAGTAGAAACAAAACTGGACATGGAATCCAAAGAGCTAAGGCTGACTCGTGTTTCAACATTATTTGTTATATGACCTGGGGCAAAGGAAGTTAATCTATTGGAGCTTCAGTTTTTGAGTGTAAAGTGAATATCCAATTCCTGATCTGTTTGTTGATTTGTTTTTTTTCAGTCATCCTCACCTTCCTCTGCAGTTCCAGCTGCAGAACTGCACGGGTTAACTGATCGCTTTCAGAATGCCTTCTTTACAGATCATCAGATTCAAAACGCTCCAGCCTCTTGTCTTTCTCAGCTCAAATGCATGTACATATTTACTCACTTCTTATGGGTGAGCATTATTTTTGGCATTCTTACAGCATGATTCTCAGCATATTAATCTATTTAGAACAAAGCTGAGGAAAGATGGTATGGAGGATTGCTGTGAGAATTGAATGAATGCATGCAAAACGTCCTGCAGAGCGCCCGGTTCCTAGTGAGCGATAACGTTTTAGTCACAGCATTTTTTCTTACTCATATGATCCTCATCTGTCTTGAATGGTTTTCCTGTGGCCCTGCTGGAAACCAGAGGAGTCCGAATCCTCTTCACACTGCCTGGTTGGTGGTCCCTCGGGGATCTCTTGCGCAATCCTCACCTAGTTTGTGCTCATTTGGGGGGTAATAACCACATTGAGATCCAAAATGCATTTTAACTTATGCCTGAAAAACAAACGCTAAAACCTACGGACAACACGTTTTTCCAAGCAGCTCTTCTTGGGAGTTTACAGGTGTGTGCTTGCAGCAACGAAAACAAAGGTTACCCCGATGCCTTCCAGGTGCAGATGAAAGGTGTCTCTCAGCTGGCTCCACCTTGCCAGCTCTCTGGAGGTGGCACCTGGAATCCTCCGCCTGAGGGCAGGTACCTCAGCGCTTCCCAAGGCTGGGTTTGCAGCCCACACCCACTGGAGCGTTTTCCTCGCCTCCCTCCCCTCTGATTGTGACTGTGGGGGCCAAGGATCATCTGGGCTGGCTCTGGTTTTGGGTCCCGGGGAGACCGAGGCTGGGGGCTCGACAGCAGGGCACGGCCCAGGTGCTGTCCTCCAACCGACTCCCCGAGCCTCTCCCGGACCTGAGAGCTAACACTCTAACTCCACCAAGAAAGTGTCCAGGGCCGGACAAGCAGACGCAAGGGGAAGTGGACCGGCTGCCGTCTGGGTAGCTTCCACTCTCTTCCCGGACGCTGCCTTTCCCACGCCGCGGCAGCTCTCGTCCCGAGCAGCGTCCGTCCGGGGCCGCTCTGACCCGCCGGGTAAGAGTAGAAGGCAGCCGGGTCCTTGCCCCGTGGCTCCTTCCATCTTCACTCTGCCGCCTTCTCCTTCCCCCCCTTGGCATCTTCATCCTGCTTTCCTCCCTTCCCTCCCCAACTCCCCAGTCCTCCTGCACCCGCCCAGGCGTGTTTTCCTCAGGGAGAAAGCATCTTGGCCAAAACCTCCCTCCTTGCCTTCCACCCCCTTGGCCTCAGAGCTTTCCCTACGTCCCCTGGGGCCGCCGCTGTCCCCCTCCAGCCCCGGGGCGGCACAGGCAGGCAGGAGCGCAGGTACCTCAGCGCCGGGAGGCTGGCGCGGCGGCCGGGCGCCTCCCCGAGGTGCGGCGCCCGCTCCGGGGGGAGGCGCTGTGGCGCGGGGCCGCCCCTTGCGCCCCGGGCGCCGGCTGCGGCTCGGCCTCCTCCTCCTCCTCCTCCTCCTCCTCCCTTTCCTCCGCCTCCGTGGCTGGGAAAGTGGGAGGCGGCGGCGACGGCGGCGTGGTGTGTGTGCGCGCGTGAGGGGGGCGGCAGAGAGGAGTCGCCCGGTGCCACCGAGGCGTCAGAGACACTGCGAGCGGCGGGCGCGACGGGGCCGTGTCTGCATCGGCCGCCGCCGCCGCTGCGGGGCCGCGAACAAAGAGGAGGAGCCGAGGCGCGAGGTAGGGCGCGCGGCGGGGCGCGGGGCTCCGGCGGCGGCCCCTCTCGGCGGGGCTGTGCGGAGGAGGCGGAGGTTCTAGGTGTGCCCGCTCCCCCGCGCTGGTCAGTGCCTGTCCCTTCACCCTCAGGTCTCCTTGAGCCAGGAGCCCGGACCTGCGGCCACGGAAACCCGCGGCCTCGCTGCCTTCTCTGGGCAGGAAGCTGTCTGGGCTCGGTGCCGCGGTCTCCCGGGGGCGCAGCCCAGCACTCCCTGCTTCCCCGCTGACTGGATTTCCCTTGGGGACGCTCGCCTCATCTCTGCGGGCTTTCAGATCTGTTTTCTCCGTGGCACTTTGCCGGGCTGAGTTTTTGCAACTTAAGGCCGAGCATTTATTTATTTTTTGGAAGTCCTTGAAAACTTCCAGCAGCAGTCGTCGGGGGGGTTAGGGTGGGGTGAGATTATTGTCCCCGGCCTGACCTAAAGGGAGGCGGGAGATGATGGCAGACTGTTGAAGGGGCCAGCCCCATTCTGAGCCCGGCCGGGTCGCAGCTGCGGCCCCAGCCCGAGACCACCCCTGCCGGGCACCGCCGACACCTGGGCTCCGGGGTGTGTCTGCGGCTGCGGGCCACCGCGCCTGCTTGCAGGTTCGGCAGTACCTGTGCGTGCAGCATGGAAGGGAGGCGCGGGCAGCCCTGCAGCTCCCGCGGCCTCACTGTGTCAGGAACAGCTGTTAATGCTTCCATCCAAATCTTTCTATCCCCCCCTTTCTTGGGTATTCACGTTTCTCTTAGTTTTGGAAAGGAGCAGCACAGTAACAGGTTTCAGTGCTTCCCCTCACCCCCCTGCATGGCCCCATGTTCTTACTAGGCGCACAGTTTTCAAGCCAGCATTCCATTGTCAAATTCTTTTGGTGGCAGTTTGGCCAGATTTTCTGAATGGGATTAGAACAGGCCGTTCAGCGATTTCCCTGCACAGCACTGCCCTGAAGGTTGCTTTTCTGCATCTTTTAGCTGCTTTCAAGCAAATCTCTAGTTGTGTCCTTTAGGATTGCCAACCTTCACCCCTTTTTTGATTGGGCAGGATTCAATTGTTGTATATTTCAGAGCAAAAGAAACATGTGTATTTAATACTGGGATCATTTAGCAGAAAGATCACATGCGGCTGGGTGTGTGGGATGCCAGTGACTTAAACATTGTGAATTTCCTTGGCCTTAAAAGGATTCAGGTAGAGGAAGCTTTTGGTTGCTTCTGCTCACCTTCTTCTCTGAGGTGAAGTCTTCATATCATTTTCAGAGCCGAAGAAATTATGTGCTTAATTGCATTTCATTAATCCTGTGTATGGCATAGGCAACTGTGCACAGCCAACTCCTCTATATCTTTAGGGATTAATATTGAATAGTTAAAGAGGCTCATTTCGTTTTTAATTGACTTTGGGAACCCCGTGTGAAAGCAAACGCACGCCTGGTAGAGGAAGCACTTGTGTGTACTTTTCAGTTCTTAGCTCCTCAGTGAACTTTTCCCCCAGATAACAGGTCTGATGATTTTCTTTTTCTTCCTTCTCCCCGTGACTTTAGAGCAAGGCCTGACATGGATGTGACATGAATCATTTTGAGGGCTGCCCACGACTGTGAGCGTTTCTGAGGCTGTTCTCTGAGTCGAAGTAGATCAACATGGATGAATCGGCCTTGCTGGATCTGTTGGAGTGCCCTGTGTGTCTGGAGCGCCTGGATGCCTCGGCGAAGGTCTTGCCTTGTCAGCACACGTTTTGCAAACGCTGTTTGCTGGGGATTGTAGGTTCCCGAAATGAACTGAGGTGTCCCGAGTGTAGGACCCTTGTAGGCTCTGGCGTGGAGGAGCTCCCTAGCAACATCCTGCTGGTCAGACTTCTGGATGGCATCAAGCAGAGGCCATGGAAACCTGGCCCTGGCAGTGGCAGTGGCACCAACTGCACCAATGCGTTGAGGGCCCAGAGCAGCACGGTGGCTAATAGCTCAAAAGATCTGCAGAGTTCGCAGAGTGGACAGCAGCCTCGGGTGCAAGCCTGGAGCCCCCCAGTGAGGGTGAGTAGCTGTCAGGGGCAACTTGGTATTCTGGCTTTTTGTTTATTCTTGGGTTTGATGTTATCTAAATGAGCTTTATCAGGTCGGAAGCCTGCACGCTGTGGGCCAGATAGGGAACTATATACCTCAGCAGCTTTCTTTTTGTCATCCTGGATGGAGATGGGAGAGAAGTAATACATTTTCTTTTGTTGCTAAAATTCTCTGCAGGAAGTCCCTATTAAGGTGCATTTTTTTTTTTTTTGAAACAGGTCACCATTCCATGATTCAGTGACATCTAAAACACTGTAGTGTTTTTGTAAGCATTTAACAATGGAGATCTGGTATGGTGGCCCCTCCTTCTGGGGCAGTTGGGAGAGTCGCAGTAGTGTTTGTGTGTGTCCATGTGTGATAAATATATTACTCATAAATCATAAGTGGCAAAACAAACCTTCCTTTTTATATCGCTTAGAGTCATACTGTTGGTTTTATGAATGCACAGCATAGAATTTACTGGTTGGAGGAATTCTTAGCAAATCATGGCCACAGGTAGCAGAGCTTCGTTGCCATGGGAACAAAGCGGCACTTACCACTCCACTAAAGCATCTAGCTTTATGTTGGGCTTTACAGGGAATGAAACAAAGTATTTTCATCAAAATGGTTTTTCCTTGGGATTTAGGCTGAAATAGTTTTAAGTGAAGCTAAATATTTGGACAGTTACCATCACTTAAATTTCTAGCAGGTGAGGTATTCTAAAGAGAGATTAGGTTGTGAATGATGGCTTCCTGATAAGGTGTGCCTTTCTTCTCTTTTATGTAAAAATAAATTAATCACGGACATCACCCAATTGAAGCGGTTCCATTTGTGTTGGCAGAAGCCCTGTTAATCATTGGTCAAACTGGTAAAATCTATTTCTAAAGAATAGTTCATCTGGATGGGGAAATTTTGTTAAATATGTTTAGTCCACATTCAGAATGGTCTTTACTTGATGTGGGAAGTACCCACTGGGATGGTCTTCAACAAGATAAATTCATAAATGTATGACACAGCTGTAGCAGAGCAGGTTCCCCCCCGGAAGCCCATTTTTTACAAGTGATATACTTACATCACTGGATGTAAAGTATGTAAAGTATTTTAATCACCGCAAAACTGTGGCTCAGAAGAAGAGTTTCCTCATGGGGCTCTCATGTTTCCTTTGATTCATAATTAGTTTTTTTAAAAGATAGTGAGAACTTCAGGTGATTTTCTTCTCTTGTGTTGTGAAATTGATCTGCTTATAGTGTTTTAAGATTTCCTTGTATTTCTTGGAGTTTAATGGTGACTTGATAAGTGTTTATAGATCCCTGAGTATTTTAACTTCAGAACCCAGTGATCAGGCTGGACCGTCTGAGATGCCTACCCCAGGTCTGCTGCTTAATGAAGGTGTCTAATTGCCTCCTCAGCGTGGAGCCTTTGTTTGTTAATTGTTTGTTAATTAGAGTGGGGAAAGCCTAGCTTTTTGTTATGAAGAGGGGTAACTTGGAGGTAGACACCTTACCTTACCTGTTGGGAGGAAGGCCTGGAATGTTTGATCACTGATAAAGAGGAATTTTAGGGGAATCTCAAGCATTCCACTTAATATCCTTTGACTTTTGAGTTTCCTTTCTGAGAATGCCTATGCAGTGCCACTTAAGTGAATTCTCACCAATCTGAACTGCTAGATACCTAAAGTCAGACTTCACTTTCCTCTTTTTTTTTTTTTAAGATTTATTTACTTTTGTTGCAAAGTCAGATATACAGGGAGGAGGAGAGACAGGAAGATCTCCCATCTGATGAATCACCCCCCCCGCCCCCCCGCAGTGTCTGCAGTGGCTAGAGCCCGAGCTGATCTGAAGTCAGGGGCTGGGAGCTTCTTCTGGGTCTCCCAGGCGGGTGCAGGATCCCAAGGCTTTGGGCCATCCTGGATTGCTTTCCCAGGCCACAGGTAGGAAGCTGGATGGGAAGCAGGGCTGCCAGGATTAGAACTGGTGCCCATATGGGATCCAGGAGAGTTGAAGGCGAGGACTTTAATCGTTTGGCCACCGTTCCAGGTCCCAGACTTTACTTTTCTTAATAACATTTTTTTTGAAATATTGATCAATTATACTTAAATTAGTTTTCTGAAGTTACTTCATGTTTCTTCTTTAGCTTATGAAAAATGGCTTGCCAGAAAACCCAACTGTATTTGACTGTTTGGAATGAAACAGTGGAGGTAGATGAAAGTGGATTTGTGTGCCACTTTGCTGGGAATTGGGGGAGGAGCTGGAAGACAAAAACAACAAACAGCTATTTAGTCCCCTGAGGGCATACAAATGATGCAATACTTTAAAAAGAATCACCTTTTTTTTTCTAGTCTAAAAAAAAAAAAACGATTTCTCATTAGCAGTTCCTAGTACTGTTTGCTTTGCGCCTGTCCATATCAATTGGGACTACATTGAAGCCCAAGCACTTGAAAGGTAAATAATCTCTAGAAAAGAACTTTTTTTGAAAGTAAACCATCTGTACCAAACATCCGGAGGTTGCAATGCACTCCCTTGGCCACTACTGTGAGGTGAGTGACTATGATAAATCACTGAAGTGTATCCTCCCTTCCAGTTTCTGACATGACCAAGTGGTGCTGTGAACCCGTTTTCACATGTTGTGCAAAGCTGAAAGTGATAACATGTGGAATGTTGCCTCAATTTATTAGTGTGTTCTATGTTACATTAGATTGGGACCATGTGGCTTCCTCATGCATTTAGCTGAGATAGATCGAATGTTCTCAGCAGATTCAAACACTTCCAACATGTGACACACATCTTGTTCCCAGAATTTTAGTGTTTCCTACATAATAAGAAGGCAAAAAGGAAGGAGTGTTGGAGTCACCATGGGATTTTCTAGTTGTTTACCTGAAGTTTTTTTTTAAGTGCTTTTTTATGTTTATTTTAACTTTTATTGGAAAGGCAGATTTGTAGAGAGAAGGAAAGACAGGGAGAAAGATCTCCCAGCTGCTGCTTTATTTTCCAAGTTCCCAAGTGGCCACAGTGGCTGGAGCTGAGCTAATCTGAGGGAGCCAGGAGCTTCTTCTGAGTCTTCCATAAATGCAGGGTCCCAAGGCTTTGGACCAGCTCAGCTGCTTTCCCAGGCCACAAACAGGGGACTGGGTGGGAAGTGGAACAGCCAGGACATGAACCAATGCCCACATGGGATCCTGGTGTTTGGAGGAGGAGTCAGGCCATTGCACTGGGCCCTCCTGAAGTTTGATTTTAGGTCAATGTCAAGCAATAGAATGAGCCACGAGGAACAGGAAGCCACAAATAGCCTCCTTCAGTGGATTAAAATATGTGCATGTAGAAGATATATTAGATATAAAAAGCATGTTTAAATAGTTCCTACAGTTCTGTAAGCTAATAAAAGAATTTTCCAGTTTTTATGTGTAGTTCTGTTGGTTTAAGATCTATTAATGTCTATTCATATCTGTCCATCTATTTTTTATTGCTTAATGATTTCATGCTGACTTCATGTCCAAGTAAATTTATTAAAAAGCAGGCCACATGACCGCTGATGTATGCTTCATGTATTCTTTGCTTAACTAGTGTTTATGAAGCACTTAGTAGATGCTGGGTGCCACAGTAGCTGCTGGATACATAATGATGAATCAACCAGAGAGAGATTGCATTTATGAACCTTTCAGTTTGTGCTTCGTCTCATGGGGGAAACAGGTTGATAAAAATAGTATCGATATATGTGACAAATCCAGTGACAGACCTGTGTGTAGGGTGAGACGCAGATTTGTAGGAGAGAGGTGTGTGTGTGTGTGTGTGTGCCTCAGAAGCTTCCTTGAGGAAGAGGCGTTTGAATTGAGATCTAAAGAAGAAAATGGTAGTAGGTGAATGGGACTGGGCAGAAGGAGATTGTTCGCAAGGTCTTCCGCTGTAGCAGATGGGGGCACGGCTGCTGGGGAGAATTTACACGATTGAGTGTGAACTAAACAAGCCATTGGAAAAGGGACATAAGATGAACCCTCAAAAGTGATGATATACAAGGTATCAAGTACCATGGTGTTTAGAGCCAGATCAATGATGCAAATAAGTGATGTGCAATGGGTAAAATATAGGCTAAATCTGTCAGGAGATTTGTATGAAGTGGCCTCTAGGTGAAGTGCATGGTTGAAGCATGGACTAAATGTGGATTAGAGTGGTCAGCACCTGCTCCCTGTTGTGGAAGGTTCAGGGCGAAGCATGACTGTTAAAGGAATTTGTGTGTCTGCAGAGATGCCGAGTTAACTCCTACTAGGCCAACACAAGACTTTTGATGAGGCGGAGGAGAGTATTTCTGAATGGTGGAGTTGAAAAGGAAAAAAATGTAGTTTTATGTTCCTTTCTCAGATAGTGTTGACTACAGCCGCTACTGAGCTCTTACGGTATTTCATGTTCCATTTCTTCTCTCCTTGACCTGTTCTCCAGGCCTCCTGTCTGCCCCTTGCCTTACTGCTGCTTTATTCCTCAGTCAGGCTGAAGTCCTCAGTGAGGCTCTAGGGTTGAGCAGGGAGTGGAGGGCAAGGAAGAAGACAGGAACCTGAGCTGCATGCTAATTGGTCATTTTAATATAGAATGCATAATTATTTCTCACATCATGTGAAGTTTCATGCAGCCATCATCAGGTAAATCTCTGAGGTGGAATATTATGTTGAAAATGGAAAACCAACCTAAGTTCAGAATGAGTACCTACCTGAAAGCATTCTGTTTACAAACAATTCAGCAGTGTAAAAGTATGTTGTTAGAGGTATATGTATTCTTGCAAGTCTGTTCACATATATTTAGATAGTTATGCATTGTCGCTCTTCCGCAGCGATGGACTTGGTAATGGAGCCGGTAATAACATGCATGGACCCTGACTGATGGTCAAAGCCGAAGTTTATTAGTGGCCTCAGTCTGTATACACTGAGGGTTATGTGGGTTAAGAGAGGAGGTATTGAGCTTAGCAACAAAACCCATCAACTGTTTCCATGCTCTGGTTTGGAACTC